ACGTCACCGTACCAGTAAAAAAAGAATATATATATATATATATATATAAGGGGGTGTGGTTTTGAAGAAAATCGGCCTTGCGATCACTTTAGTGGGGGCTATGTTCACATTCAAAATAAAATAAAGTCGCAAATAAACGTTCTATTTTTGTCAACCTTGAACCCCCCCCCCCCTTCCCCCCCCCTGCCCCCCCCCCCCCCCCCCCCCCCCCCCCCCCCGCGATTCACGAAAACAAAACTTCAATCTGCGGGTGGAGGGGAGGGGAGAGTTGTTTTTTGTATTATTCTGGGCACCCTCGATTCGGGTTTTGTTTTCCGATTTTGATACAACCCGCTCGGGGGTTAATTTTCGGTGTTTGTCAGTATTTATCGTAAACACGGAACCGTATCCATAACTGAGCATAAGAAAACGTAAGCAAACGCGCCTGTGTGAATGGGCCTTTAGTGATAACCGACATTTCCGAAAATTTCGCCCAAGCTTACAGAAACAATCGGGCAGTGCAGCGATGCCTCAACTATTAGTTCGCGACTTTCCTCTTCTTCCAGGTCAGGGAACAATCTCCGCGTCCGCCTACGCAGATGACGTCTTTCTAGCAGTACAGAACGCACCTTTGACAGCCACCGTCTGGGGTGCAACTGAACCCAAAAAAAGGTCGGTGACAGGTTAAGAATTCAAGGCAAGCCGCAGCTCATTTAGTGACTCTATTCTTAACATGTCGCCGACTGTAGTTTGGCGCATTCCCGGTTGTCTCTCCTTTACGTTGTCCCTTTCGTCTCCGTAAACGCTGGATTTGCTTTCATGCGACAGAGGAAATGCCAGCTGGCTCAGTAATTTGATCTCTTGCTTTCAGAGATGAGGCTCTTCTAATCAAGACTCCCATACGTGCAGAATTGTGGTACGCGGAAAGGGTAGAATAACATGATAGGCGGAAAAAATAAACTACGCATCGCCGAATGCTCATTCTCCGCCCAAATCTATAGCTATTTATGGGTGCAAACCGGGTGCCAAAGCTTCAGAACTAACCGTCATCTCAATGAAAAGGTAAGTGTTTTTCCGAAAATTTCAATGGGAATATGGGGTCCATTCCCGGTAACTAACGTCAACTCGGAAGGCCGCCATTGTCCCCATGAAAGTTTCAAAAGATCACATACCTTTCAAATAAGATAGCAGTTAGTTATGAAACTTTGGCATCTACTTCGGACCGTTAGCGCTACATTTGGGCGGAAAATGAGCTTCGGTCAACATGTATTTCATTTTTGCAATGAAAAAAAAAAAAAAATTAAAAAAACATTTTGGGGGTACACCCTGTAGATTGACATCCCTAATCTTCGCTTGCTTTTGGACTAAAGACAAAAACTGATTGTAATGCAATTAAATGCAAAAGTGCAAGCGAGCTGGACAAGAATGACGAAAATAATCCCTGGTGAAGGGGAACAGGGACAAAAGATGAACACAAATCTCCAAACACAGCTAGGTGACTGGTGCGCGACCGAAACACTTTGCTGGTGGCAGCTGATAAGACCCATTTGCTCTACTGACGTCTAACCCCTGGTTAGCTCAGTTGGTAGAGCCCTCCACTGGAAATGGAGAGGTCCCGGATTCGATACCCGGACCAGGCGGATTTTCTCGGTCGCGCACCAGTCGCCTAACTATACCTGTGTTTGGAGATTTGTGTTTGTCCTATTGTCCTTGTTCCCCTTCTCCAGGGATTATTTTCGTCGACAAAAACTGAACTGGTCGTCCGATTGGCACTTCGTCTGGCCACGCTCCAGCGGAGGCTGGCTCTCACGTCACACCTCTGCGGTGGCGCTGTTGTCACCACGGCGCATGCGCAGAAGCTTCGCCTCACGCAAATCAGGTTTATGCGCTCGCGCGATGGCCACACCTGGTGTGGGCAAACGCGGGCTTGTTAGTAAACAGTGTGTCGGTCTATACCTTGTATACCTTCTACCAAATCGTTTGGTTTGAGTGTGTAATCGACATACAAGATATTGGCTAGGCAAGTCGCCCCCTGGTACTTTACCGGTTAGGTTACCACCTGCGTCGTACCCTTGCTCCCCGAGGGCTTGGAAATGTATGTCCCGCGGTAGAAATATTCATTTGCCCCTTTACTCAGCTGTAGTCGCGATACGCGCGTTGTACCAGCCAAGGCCGGACAGAGATTTCCAGCAGGTCCCTGTTTGGGCGGTAGTGCGAAGCCCTCTGTGCTTCCCAAGTGTGTCCTCGGCATTGGGCGCGAAATTCGCAAGTGGTATCGGAAACCTGCTTTCACCGGACGCTAGGTCAGCTGACCTTCAGTGGTAGTAAGGCGAAGCACGTGACAGCCCGTACCAAAGGTGCTGGGGCAAGAGCACAACCCGAGCATGTGTCCCAGATAGCCCACCACTCAAAATTAGCATAAAAGCGGCTTGCTTGCCTCTCTCCCACTCGTAGCTTTGACAGCAGTGCACGACATAGAGTCACGATTGGCTCACTGGACAGTAGCCTCCGCCGCTCGCCAAGTTACCTGCGTCGTAGTGATGCAAAAACCAACGATGGTACTATCGACAGGGGATGCCAAATTTAACTATCAAGTGTAAAAATATTATCGACAGTGCTATCGATAGTCGACTATAGTAAAACTATCGATAGTCGACTACCGCGAAACTCGATGGCATACTATCAATACTCGACCATCGTGAAATTGTTTATAGTCGAATATCGAGGAACTATCGATATCCAACTATCGTAAAATGCCATCAATTGGGTTTTATTATGTGACGGACGAAGAACGTCCAGGAAATGTTGTGTAGCTCGGAGAAAAACGCAGCTGCAATTAAGGATTTCCGCATAATTATCCAGGAACAATCTAAAACCGATTGAAAAACAATCCCAAAACGGTGGAAACACTCCATAGAAACTACTGACAATCTGCACGGTGTGCAAGCCTGCACAACAAAATCTCCGTTACATTTATTGATTAAAATATATTTATATATAGATAATGTGACGGGTTTTATATTTTGGAGTTGCATTTTATACCAACAGGTAAATATTTTTCCAGCCTCCGTTTTAAACTCTGAAAAAATAGAACCGAACAAAAAGCGGCAACATATCATGGCATGTACAAGCCTAAAGCAGTGGTCCCAACAGCTCGTATGCATCATACAAAAGACAGTCCGCAAACACGAGTCTTCGCAATATCGGTGGTTCGAATGCCACATGCCCAAGTTTCTCCTTCAACTCATTGACATGCGGCATTCGAAGCAGGAACCTCACGGTGACTCGTGCTCGAATCTGTATGCAGACTATCTTTTGTATGATGTATATAAGCAGTGTGACCTTTCGTCAACAACTAATTCCCTATTTCGTGAATTTTCTATAAACAATAATTAAGTAAAGAAAAACGATGATCCCCAGCAGTGTTCAATCATTTTCACCTGTCAATGATCATGACTATGAAAAGGAGTATGTGTCAACTGAATAATAAAGAAACACAAGCGTGAAACAAACTTGTGAAAACCCTAATGCTAAATGTCTTCGGAAAAAACAAACAACAAAAAATACTCACTAGTTTTACAAATGCAGGTATACTAAAATGTGAAGCCTGATATCTGAACCCCATGAATATAAAAAAAAATATGTGCGCAGGAAAACTAGCAAACCGCCACTTCTGTTTTACGCGACTCTATGTTTTGCTTCCTTTCAATTTCATGTTTTCCCCAAAACCACGCGCTGTCAGCCCGCACATGTCCGTCGTCCTTTCCTTTTTGGGGAGTGCTTTAGTTTTCCGAACCCTCGGTAGTTTCCTGAAAGCTAACATTCGATAGTATCTATACTCGACTAAAAGTCAACTATCGATATATCGGTATATAGTAGTACTATCGAAATCCGACTATCGATAGTCCACAATCGATGGTTATCGACTGTCAATAGTAAATTTTTCGATAGTTTTGCATCACTACTGTGTCGCCGCGGGAACTTTCTGGGCTTTGGTGGCAAGGGTTTTGTGGAGTGGGCCTATCCCTAAACAGACGCCTACACCAGTTTCCTGCGGTGGAAGCCACGTCCCCATTGGACCAGTCATACATCTCCCTTTCGCCACGTGATTCTCGCGTTCATACCCATTTGCAGACAGCCGCGTCACGTAAGGAAAGAGAGGTGGCCGATTGGTCCGGCAGCAATCTCAGCTTAAACACTGACAGGGTATTTATGCTCGCCGAGGTATTTATTTGTACATGACATATGAGAACTCAACTACTCGGAACACAATTTCCGGCTCGAAATTCGTTTTCTTTCCACCCGAAAATCGCCGATCGAGAACTGGCCGGTTTGAGTCGTGCTCACTCTCTTCTCCGTAGTCACGTGCCGTTCTCTATTGTTTAAAGTCGTGGGTCATCAAAGGCACACACTCAATATTAAAACTATAAAAATATTTTATACCCATATTTTGTGGCTTCTAGAACGCTGCTAATATGTAAATAGAAAAAAAAAAAAAAAGTTGCTTATTTACCCGATTGTCAGCAACGCTCTCCTCCCTAGACCAGTTTCGGTTTCAAGCAGTTGCATGGTTCGTGTTTATTAAAAATATATGCGACGCTGTAGCAAAATATTGACGGGGTAGTTTTCTGACACCATGTTAAAACAACCTGCGAAAATCATAAATAAAAAAAACAAAAACCGAGCATTGTGGGAAAGCAGAAACAAATATTTCGCCCAACGACGGCGGTTTAGCCTACTGTTCCCAACGCTCCGGCCCGTGCACGAGAACGTCGCGATACGCCTTGAGAACGAGCTGTGTACTCGGGGGGAACAAGAATCATTCTGCCGGTTGCACACAAAAACAAGGTCGACCTGTCTCAAACTGCAGTGTTTCTTTTGCCGAGCGTCGCCACCGAATGCGGCGAAGCAGGTCAAAAAACAGCGCGAGCCACTTGGCTTGTGGCGTACCGCAAGGGCGCCAGGGGCTGGAATGGCGCTGTAGTCAGCGGCCAAGTTTGAGATGTCGAGTGAAAAACATCCCATTTTTATGTTTATTTATTGATGTCCATCAACAGCAACATGCTTGTGTCGTGCATCGCAACATCGACGAAAAAGAAACGCGCAAGTATCAAACATATTATACACAAAAGGGACAAAAAAAATATCATATCCTATTATAGCTCTGACATTACAGTTTTTAAAATAGCTCAAAAAGGCATTCCATTTGGGTGACAGGCAAGAGAGCTTCCCAACAACATATAAAACAGTTTCAATTACTTCAAAGAACAAGGCAAACAAAATCTTATGATGGATAACATAAACATGAGCATGACACTTTGCTTGTGCAAAAATAGCAAACCATTAAGATCTTTTCTGGGGAAAGTGTGTCCATAACCATTTTACTCAGTAGCCAGTTGTAGCTATAATAATATTTATTTCCAAAGTATTGGTCGTAAATGAAAAAAAAGCATCTCTGGATGCCCTCAATATGCTTACATTTTGAAAGGATTAAGTGAATTCCAAGCAGTAGAAGAAAATTCCAACCCTGAGCGAACAAAGCAGTTAAAGAAAAAACACAAGCACAGATATCAAAATTTTAAAAGCTCGTATAGTTCTAAACATTGAGCCAAACGTCTTCAATGACGATGCCACCACAGCATTACCGTGCGAAGCAATTTGAAGCACAGAGTCCCATAACACTCCAAGATCATAAATTCACCTGCCTTCACCCTTAGCCCTAAAACATTTCGACAGTAAACTGTTAGTTCTATTTATTCGTCGTCAACCCCCCAGCTCGGGTCTTCTCCCGTATGCCCAAAACGCATTGATGGCAACAAACGACCGAAGAACTGCTTGAAGACGCTGCCTTCAGGCCATATTTCAAATGTGTTGGTACATTCAAACACATCTTCTGCCACAGACAAAAGAAAGGACGAGTATGATGGGTGTTTTGGCCACAACTTCGTGCAGGTTACCGTCTCGTCACCTAGCACAGATGTCACGAGTCTAACCACGTTGTCTTCACTCGTATACGGTTCTAGACGCGACACAAACAACAATCTTGTTTTCACGTGACCAGGAACAGAGGTAAGTGTTGAATTTTCAGCGACCCCCGTCTTCATCTCCGTCTTACAATGCCTTGCTCCTTCAACGATTCTGTCGTTATCTCCAACTGAAGCCCCAGCTTTATTTGTGCTTCCTAACCCGTCCTGTCTCAATGACGAGGACGTTGATGCCAGACACCAGTGCTCGCGTTCGCTGTGGTAGGCGAAGGCTGATGGTCTCGTGCCACAGCGGGACACGGTGGAACAACCCTGAAAACAGAGTCTGCACGATCCGAAGCACTTGAACCAGCGACAGTCACACCAAGACGCTGGCACAGGGTTTATCATTCCCTATTCAGGCGGCACCTAAATTCGTTCGCAAGATTCTCGACAGTGACCTGTAGCTCCTCGAGATATTCAATTAAAGTCTGCGCATTTAAATCCCTTGAAGTCCCACTGGTACTTGCTCGGTCGCTTTCGTTTTCACCGGCAATTGCTCCACTGGAATTGGTGTAGTCGCCACTGCTGCGGGGTGGAAGAGGCCCGCTGTCTTCAGCACTCCGGCAAGTGCAAGTGGGGCATTTAAATGCGCCTGAGAACCCTTGCGTCAGGATCTCATACTCAGTGGGTCCCACGTTCACGCACCTACGGTGGTAGGTACCCTGGCAAGTGCCAGAACAATGAATAGGCTGCTCTATGCCTTGAATTTCAGCATAACATTTTGCACAGACCACCTTCCTCCTGTACATCTCCGTCATGCCGAGCGACGAATAGCCCCCAAACGCATTAGCCTGCAGAAAGAAAAAAAAAAAGAAGCGTAGTTTATTTATTAATTCATCTGAAAGTAAAGGGTCTAATCAAGAAAATAAAGCCCATTTTTTGGGCTCGCGAAGTATAAATCGCGAAAAGCTAGCGAAAAGCGAAAAGCTTAACAGTTTCCTGTTAAGGGAACAAGGTAGGCCCTATTCCTCCCATGTGTTTCAGCCTATGTATGTGACCCCTTTTCTCGGGATCTGCTAGGGTTAGAGCCTAGAGGATTCATGCTGGTATCATTGTATTTAGCTTTCTCTGTTCTCTTTACTGAACTAGAATTATTGCTATATATATTTTAGTTCTTTTTTGCTTTTGTTTTTACTGGACCCTCCTAATTTTAATGCCAAAATGGACAATAAACAGCTTGTCAAACAAAATTACCTTGATTAATTTCCATAACTCTAGTTCAGTAGACTTCCCCTTGTGTTGTCTTGTTAGTGGGAAAAAATAATACCTCTAGGTTTTATGGTTTCAGAGAAAAAGGGTCAAACGTCGCAAAAAAAATGATGTTTTGAGATAATTGACTTTAAAGTGAAAAAAAGCACTTTATAATAAACTTGCACTCTAGAAATGCATGTTGATGTATCAGTTCGATAGCCACCAGCCAGGTTGTCACCTCCATAATCAATATTTAGTTTCTTTGTTTGCTGTCTTGCTTTGTGGGCCCCTTTTGTGACGAGCTGTGTGGCCCTGTCTGCAAAGTAAAGTCGTCGCCGGTCAACGTCCCGCAACCACTGCACCGTGAATCATCCTGGTGAAACACCAAGTAGAGGCCCGAAGTTGTCCGTTTTGACGTCTCTCTAATCAGTGTGTCCAACAGTACTTTTCACAGTTCAAAAAGTAGGTGCAGGTGACGCCAGCTCTTTGTGCTGCTTTTTCATCCAGCTGCAAGTCCCCACCACACACTTTAGACACTGAGCTTTCGGCGACGGCACAGGACAGAAGGTCGAAGTCAATCAGTTCATAGTCGCAGTCACTAACACTTGCCTTGAGCTCTTCAAAGCGTGCTGCCGAGCGCGACAGCTTCGAAGAAGATGCACACGTGGTGGCCGTTGCGTCAGGCATCAGAATGCGTTGCGGGGACTCGGCGGCATGAGAAATTGACCTATGCCGACTACCCTGGAAGCGACGCTTTGAAATACCTTCTTCATCTTCATCATTTGATTAACATTCCAAATCTAGTGTTAAAGTAAACAATAAATTACTTTAAATTACAGAAGCAAAAGTATGCGCGTCGCGACTGATACCGGCAGTGTCTGAGGATTTATGGGGCTAAAAAAGTAAAAGCTGGACAGCTTTTTGCTGTTTCTGGACGAGCAATAAACATTCCGCTAAACCTAGAGAAAACCTGCGTTTTTTTTTTAAGTTTTTTTTTACAACATAGGAGATACAGTCATGCATAGGTGTAAAAGGGGGCGTGGTCGGTCCCCACCTAGGTTTCGGAAAAGGTCATTTTTTCTGTAGAAAAATCGCGCACGCTCAAATTACACAGTCAGCATTGTTCAGGAAAGACTGGGAAATCCAAATCAATAAAAAACAAAAATCAATTTTTTTTCAAACTTTTGCCCTACCCTGTTTCCTTAAGGTGACACTTAGTGGTAATGACAGAATGCAAAAGTTTAATTAATCACAAAAAAAAAACTATTTTATTTTTTTAAATTGAGAAATGGTATTGTGGAAACCTGAGGCATTTATTTCAGTGCATGCAACTTGTCAGCAAAAAAGGCAATCTTGTTTTCTTCCGTACTAACAAGTTACACGAGAAATGAGCTGCTGCCAGTCAGAACAGGTAAACAGGAAGAAACACACACACGCAAGAACATGACAACTGAAATCGTTCCTAAACTGCTTCCACATCTTTGGAGGAACTGACCTAAGGGAACATACTGACACATCCAAATAATCAAGTTGGAACTTTTAGGGTTAAGGCCGAGGTCTCATGGTGGCCAACTTCCAACGAGCCATTAGTTCAAACCTTAAATGACGACACAGGTCTGTATGGCCGAAAAACTGTGATACAACACGAGGCACAGGTGTTTGTCCTCCGTCCATAATTTCCTCCTTTCTGTTGCTCTTCTGTGCACATTGCACAATCACTACATGCTCTCGGCTACGACACTTATCCCATGTCCTTACTGAAATGAATTTCTAATTTATTCATACCATTTATGTTATACTGAGATGAAGACCATTTTCTATTCTATACAATTCCACCCAGTGGAAAGTAGACATCGCGTGATGAGACCACCACCTAGACACACAAGCGCTAGGAACGACGACAAAGAGAGGGCGGTGCGAGCGTGGAGATGGCTGACATGGGTCGCAAAGCGGTAAATCTTTGAGAAACCTTTGTTATCTACCTGAGAGTCTACTGATCTTGAAAATGGTGCCTATTGATAACTAATCTACTGAAGAGACCTATTGCTAAATTACCCAAGCATCAGGGAGAATGCAGGGAATGGTTCCACGCGCCGCACATGCCGGCATCTGCAGCAGTAACTGTTTAAAGCAAAAGCGTAAAACAAATGGCATCTCGTACACGTGTTCGTCAACGCTTTATTTTGCTGCAAATCTTTTATACAAGGAAGGCGTGCGCGTGCAGTGGTGTGAGCGTAGTGTTTGTTGACGAACATGAAAAATCCACGGAACCCTAGCCATAAACAGCTCCGCTGTAAAATGTGCGGTACGGACGGCCTGGGAGCTTGCACCAAGCGCGTTAGTCGATGTGTTAAAGACTGGCTAAATTTCTTGTCTACAGCTGAGAGACCAGGCGCCCACTGGGCCCCAACAGCAACACCGCCTTCCATTTCCACTCGCAAGCATATAGCAGGAATCTATGCAGAAGAGCACACAAAGAGGCTTTTACCGCCGCTTATTTTGCATTTCCTATAATCGATGAGCATCCATAGTCTGGACCATAGATTATCAGAGTTCTTAGAACCCAGAAGTTACCCAGAGTATCGTCATGCATGCCCCCGAGCTCAACATCCTTGACCGTCTCCTGCCACGAAGTACCTAAGTCGGTTTTCCAGTTTAAGCACTATTTTAGCAGTATCTAACAATGAGCCGAAAACTTTCTTGCATGCGCATTATCATTTATAAGGTCTTTCACGCTCTGCTATACTGTAACGCATCAATGCCAAGATTGAGAGAGGCATGCTTGATTGACTGCAAGGCAGACGAGGTTCTTTGAGAACGAAATTGACAGAAAACCCTACGCCTGATTCGCATCAGGCAAACAAACATATCTGCTCATTGGAGAGCTTGACAGACAGAAACTTCCCCTCCCTTTGTACACATTAAAGGTGCTCAAAATACATAGCATTCACAGGGTCTCGGTGACATCATTGTGTCATGGTGTTACCTGAAGTCACCGAGGCCACATCCCAGGCCTGTACACAAAAGCACTTGATGCTGGCACCCTTAAATGCTACACATTTAAAATGCGTCCTCACAAAAGAGTGATCAGAGCAAGACAGAAACAAAGCCTCACCTTTTGCTGGCTCTGTCCATATACCGAAGTGCTGGTGCCAAAGGCCGTGCCCGTGCCGAAGGCAGTGCTGATCGGCTGTGCGGGCAGTCCAAAGCTCGTCGCTTTGGTTTGCGTGTTCTGGCCAAAGATGGAGTCACCTGTCGACGTGAATGTGCCAGCAACAAACCAAAACATCAGCAAAACAAAAGAAATCCAGATTTTGCAGGAAATCGGGAGTTCACAGACAGCTATAACAAAAAAAATTTGAGAGGAAAGAACGAAAAATATATTCTGCTTTGACTTTCTTTAAATGTACCAGCATGTTCGTCGTAATCGAAGAGGGTATTGACTGTGTATCCTAAACTTCTAACACTAAAAGTCGACGAAATAGTTGAGTAAAGAGGTGAACACCACACACCTAAGCAAGCAGAAATCCAGCAGTATGCAAAGAGATGTGCACTCCTTTGTTTTGTTGCCCGAACTCTCCCAATCGCATAGCGCCAGCAAGGTAGTGTTATCATGCCCCGTTTTAACATCACTACTAAGCTTACGAAGCACGAAACACCTGGAAATAAAATTAATAAAGAATAAATGCCAAACAATTGACTGGATTTTTGGCGAGTTTTTTTTTTTTTTCTGACGATACATCGAAGCAACGCTCGTCAAGGATTGGCCCAAGACGATTGCCAAGGTCTCACCCGTGTTGGAGGTGCCAATGAGCGACTTGCTCTGGTTGGCGCCGAAGTTGAATGTCGACTGCTGGGACACTGGGACGCTGAAGATGGAGCTCTGCTGGGTGGTAGCGCCAAAGCCCACCATGCCCGCCTGACTCCCCTTGCGGTTGGCAGCGTAGTCTTCCAGCCGAAGCTCCTGCAAACCAGTCCCCGGGGGCCGCTACTTATCGGCACTGGAAAGGCATCGCCATATACAGCAAACCCCACACAACTACTCCTCTTCTAAAGGCTGACAAACACCCAATGTCTTTTTCCACCGTTCTCTTTCCCCCTCTCCCTCCTTCCCCTTCAATTGATGCGGTTGCAGTTAGGGAGAGAAGGACAAGAAGATGATGTTCTGCACTGCAGAATACCGAGACTGCAGACGTCTTAGGGGGGGCGCTGCTCCGAGAGGGATTTCTGTTTTATTGATCGCTCTATGAACACTTGGACCAATTACAGTAAGCTTGCTTGTAACAATTCATTATTATGTAAGCAACCCAGTTCGAAAATGCAACGTCCCGACCTTTAAATAGAGTGTCAGGAAGCTGTGGCAATAATGTTTTGTTCCGTCGCAGACTGTTAACATTTCTGGAGGGCGAAAAACCAGATCGTGCGATTTCGGATAAAGCTTTAGATAAATGGCAACAATGATTTTATTCACCCTTTTGGACATGTCCACCAAACTCAGTTCGTGAACAATCGAATCTCTGAATGGAACGCGACTAAGTCAAACCGCAACAGATGGTAGCCCATTACATGCTGCGGAGACAAGAAAAAGAGTGTCGCACCTCCAGGCTCTTGTTTTCGTACTCCTTCATGCAGGTGATACACCGGTGAGAGGTGTTGATGGTGCTCGACACCCCGTTCTTCCTCATGGTGTCCGTCCCCGTGAGTGCCCTGAACTTGATAGTCGTGCCCGACGTGGCAGGACCCGCTCCAAATGCTGGCAAGAGGTTCCAAAAAATGGAAAATTAAAATGGACCAAGGAATTGCTCAGCTTATACACAAAATTCCCGTTATCAAGCAACGCTTTAAAGGGGCACTGACACCCCAAAGGTCGTATTTATTTTTATTGTCTAAAACGATGCAAGTTGCAGTCATAGACACGCAAAAAAAAACGCATCGCAAAAAGAAATTTTCCCGCGCGCCCGCGCGCCTTTTTATTTTTGGCGTTTGATTTTCCCGCCTCTCGCCTCCTCGCTTCTTTTGATCGGTGACGTCAAAAATCAGGAAATTTAGAAGCTTTGTAGGCGACATCTCTATAACATTTAATTACGGCAATCGTAAAACATGTTTTTTAACGCAATTGCGAACGCACTACGGCCCTTCTTTTTGAAATACCAAAAATCGGGAGTTCGTTGTGGTGCCGTCTCCTGGATTTGTATCCTCCAACGGAAAACAGGCGACACCGCTCAAAACCGGTCCGCCGTAACGCCGCCGCTCACTCCTTTTTCCTCGCTTTGGGTCGCCATGGCAACAGCAGGGAGTGGTGAAAGAAAGTCGACTCTCAGGTCTCCGCGATTTTTGACGTCAAGGCACCGGCGCCGATCGCGCGGGAACTTCGAATTCGGCATTTGGAAATTGTTTTTTTACTTCACAAATACTGAACTCCCAAATTTCATATTTTGAGGGTAATGTCCCGGCATCGTTTTCAATCGTTTCGGATAATAAAAAAAAATATGATTTTGATGTGTCAGTGCCCCTTTAACAGTGTTCTAGGAAGTAATGCAGTGGCTCTAAAAAAAGGGGTGCATGAATGAAGAAGACAAGAAGTCTTTCACAGATTCTCAATTGTTGTGCCACGTTTCATAGTGGACATTGTTCCATGGCAAGTGCTGCTCGTTAAAAGCCCCATCAAGTGCTGTAACACCGTCATTACATACGACAAAACATCTACTGCCAAACAACTTGTTCAGTGCTCCCAAGATCTCGTATTGATGTGAAACAAAATAGACATTTTCAAAATTCAACCTGTCAACTTTGATCACTATCGTCGTCCCAGGGGATGACACAAGTGCCAAACTAATGGCAGGCTTCTCGAGGCCGATAAAGGAAGCAGGTATAGATGCGACCAAGGGGATGATAGTATGCGAGGCCTGTACATTCGAAACTTGGGTACAACATCGCACAAAAATTAGATGTAACAATTGCAAAAACAATTTTTTTTGTGTGTGGTTTAATCAATCTTTTGTAATACGTTCTGCTCCTGTGCTTCTTGATCACAGAAATCTAATCGAGGTGCTCATGGGTCCTATCGAAATTGAAACAAATCAATAAAAAATTACGAAAAGATCGAAGAACCAATCCTCGTCTGCCGTCGACGTGCAAAGGCAACTGTGCCCGACAAAATACGGTTTCGTGGCCGCCATTAGTTCTGTCGAAGTCGAAACCAGTACTGCAGCCACCAGGTGGCACCACATTTCGAAACGGGACCACCCGAACTCAAACAGAGACTCACCGGACGTTCCGAAGAGTCCGCTCCCGGCCGTAGGTGTGGCCGTCTGGCCAAAGAGCCCCGTGCCCTGGGGCTGTCCGAAGAGTCCGCCCCCCGTCGGCGTCGCGGTGGCGCCGAACGAGCCGAACTGTGGCCGCGGCTGGCCGAAGGCTGTCGAAGTAGCCCCGAACATGCCTGTGCCGGGAGCCTGCTGCGGCGTGCTGGCGCCAAACATGGACGTGCTCGTCTGCGGCGCCCCGAAGCCTGGTCGGAGAAACAAAGGTGATGACACTCGGTGGTTTTGTCGGCAGAATTGGCCGACCAAACACGGCGACGTTGGTACGGTGCCTGGAACGCGTTCCCATCCGTCTGCTTGGGCCACAGTCGCACTGCTTATACATTGAACAAAAAGCACCGTGTTCACTGCAGACGTGACAGAATTATGTGCAGACGTGCCTCAAGTACATTTATAGCACGTCTGTTCCGTGCACATGTATGCTTTAAACATGTCTGAAGACAGTTTTAACGCAGAATGTGTTATATGGCTGGCATCTAACCGTATCCGGTTAGGCACCAGACACGAAAGTCGACGGGCTGACTAAATGCAGACGCAGCGCTCGTCTCCTCACCGATTGGTCGCTAGTGCCAGTTGAACCTCCTCCCTGAGGACCTCCGCGCAAAAGCAAGCGACAGAAAAGCAGAAATACGAAAGCACACTTTTTTGCCGCAACGGATCGAGGTAGTTCCGAGCGTACGGTTCTCTTTTGCTACGAGCTAAAGCTGGAGCCCCAGCTCGGCACTGCCGCGTTCTTACTGTTCCGATTTCTCCACGCTTCGTCTGCTGCGTCTCGAGCTCGCACGGGCTCCGAGAAAGCCGCGTTCACACTGCAACCGCAGGAGACGGCACCCACATTCGCAGAGTGCTTACCTCGCACAGCACGGGGCCGCTTCGCGCCAACCGGTCTTCGCACGTGTACAGTTTCTCCCCACTAACACATTGCATTCTGCGTTGCAACTGCCTCTGCCACGCTAGTACGACAAAAAAGCGACCTTTTTTGTACGACCAACGTGACACGATTGTCGTACAGAGACGAAGCACGCCTCGGGCAGCGTCTGGAGAATGTCTTTTGTAGGATAGACTAAAAGTGTGACTGCAGATTTAGCATCCTATCCCACCCCATACAACAAAAACTGTCCCGAATGGCAACGAATTTCGTCGGAGGAGCCGGCGTCTCATGCTGACAGATATCGCAATCCTGCAGGTTGGTTGCAGAAATCCTGGCGAAAAATGCGAGCAGACGCAAGGGCTGCCATCGGTGCAGCATCCAACCTCGCGTGTGCTACAGTTTCCGTCGAGCGTCTGTCTGCAGAGCGACCTATGGCAGGACAGACGTCTGCCGGCGTCGCACACACCTAAGCTGCAGTGGCGCCGCTAGGATAATGCGAGGTCCCGATCTGCCAGGAATCCAAACTTATTATTATCATCCCTCAATTTAACGAATCGCGATTAGTCCCAATAGGATGCTCGACACCTGCCACACCCCGCATTTTTTAAGCTACTGCGATTATAAATATGCTTGTCGCTGAGTCGAGGGACCAAAGGCGAAGACACGTTTCGGGCACCGCAACCAAACACGCACGTCCGGTTCGACATCATTCGGTCTGTTTCTTTTTACAACAACCAAACGAGAGGTAGAGGAAACAGGTTCCTCACCGAAGCCAGGGGTTGCCGAAGTGGCAGGCTGCCCAAACGTCGAAGTGGTCGTTCCAAAGAGGCTAGTGTTCTGGGCGGCGTTTCCGAACAGGCTCCCGCTGGTGCTGGGAGCCGTGGCCCCAAACGCCGACCCTCCGAACATGCTGCTCGCTACAAGGCGTTGAACAAAACAAACAAAGATTAAAGCACCACGAAGAACACAAGCGAATCGAGGATAGGAAAGCTGGGAAACAATTGAGGCACACAAAAGCACACAGTTCTGAAATTTCTGCCTCGGCCTGAAACGATGAGGCATATGCGACTTATGTGCCTTCCTCGACTTTCAAGGGGACGTGTAACGGTACAGGTTGAAACCCTTTTGCAAAGTCTACTGTTGCTAGTTTGACCCAAGTATACTTGTATGCAATGCCACCGACACCGAATCTTTTTGTTGCAATGTAATTTCTACGACAAAACCACTTTTCTTTTTTTTTTATATGCTAAACCCGATAAGACATGATTATGAAAATTACCCTTTGGCAACGAAAGTCACCATGGCGCTTATCGGTTGAACACAAGCACTGTGCAAGCGCCCAATTTCTGCTCACGACAATCAAGGCCCGGATCTTAGAATGGACTTAAGCGGACTTTATGAACCATCGGAGCCAATGCAACGCTGAGAAAGTATGACGCGACAAAAGGACAAAACACGTCGCTGCCCTCGTTGCGCCCGACCGGAAGGCCACGCGTTCTTTCCTTTGGAATGGCTCCGATGGCTCGTAGCGTCCGTGCGGTCCTGTTGAGACTTGAGGGACAGTCAGACCACAGGCCATTGACGCTCCTAGGGTTCTCTCCACTTGGATGAGAACCCTCTGTGAGCCGATGCAGTGTGATAGGGTGGGAGAAGGATCATGTTACACATGCCGAGGGGAAACGATAACAGGGCTGCTAGAAAGCACAGAAGATACAAACTAAAAGCGAAGCCCTGGCGCGGCTTCTCGATCCCTTTGAGGGATCGAGGTGATCATGGCCTGGTCACCGCTCGCGAAAAACAAACTAACAAAGTAAATAGAAAACAACAATTTTCCATCCGCAGCCCTACCCTAAAACAAAAAGACAAAAAAAAAAAAAAGTAAGAGAAGAAATGTAGGGGTTAACAGACAGCTGAGTTTGGGGAAAGAGGAGTTTTCGTAGACCGTTTTCTCACTTCCTCTACGCTCTCCGGAACGAAGACGCTTGTCCTGCACAGAGTCCCAGATCTCGTAGCGGGTTGCGGAGCGGAGAACGTTGCGGGCCAGCGGAAACCATCTACGAGAACTCCCTAATGTGGCACTTGTCAGTGAAGTTCTCCTCTCATCGCTAAGATATTTCCTCACTGACTTTTCCAGCGTTCACTGAATATTATTCAAACCTACTGAGCTTAAAAAGGAAAGAACGATTATATGAAAGACGTACACGGACGACCACACGTATACGTCCTTCATGTTTTTATTCTTTCGTTTTTAAATATTCATTATAACAATGCGCTCGAATTAACTGCTTCTAAGTTATACACTGTCTTGTGTAGTAAAAGTGAGCTGTCAGGGCGGCAAACTCGATAGTCAGGATACCGCTACCACTCGGAGACCGCGACCGCCCATTCAGCGACAAGTGGCCCGTGGGCTCCGTGCAGCGAGCAACATGCGCGGGTGAGAAACGAAAGCTGCGCTGCTGCGCCAACCGGGAAAGACTGGAAAGACAAGATTGCGAAGAGAGAGGGGGAGGGGGGGGGGCGGCAGGCGAGGAGGCGATAGCGGCCAGTTCCGTGAACAAGCTTCCCCTCGGGGAATGCTTCCCACAAAGAGCGGCCGTCTTTAGTCGGATGCAGTGTTGTCGATATACCGAAAACATATTGTTTACGTAAAAATATCCTCTGTATATACAAGTCAAAAAATGACGGTCCTCGAAAAGTGGCCTGGGCACTCTTCAAGGACCGGATTTATGGCGAATTCCACTGTCGTTTTGGAGCGCGCCGGGATCGACTTTTCTGGATCAAACCTGACTCTGCGGACAATTAACAGCTGATTTGCTTTCGAGGGGAGTTTTTAAGGATTCACATTAAAATTTAAACCAGATAATACGTGTCATTGTCTTCCAAATTATATTGTGTTTATGTATAGGTATTAAGCGCGAAACACATGTACGACGAGACCACGGTCGGAGGCGAGGGTTTTCAACGCTCTCTGGCGCTACGAATACCCTCGCCCCCCAAGGTCATTCCGGCAGTTCACACGTGGGATCGGACGGTTTCGTCGTACATGTGTTTCGCGCTTAAATTAAGCACGCCCTAAAACATTTTTACTATTTTTCGTTTTGTCGCCTAAGATTCTATTAATTTCGTTATCATTATATCTAAAACGGTGCAATTTATATGCTGCAAAACGCGAAGTTAAACAAATGTGCAACTGGCCTACCTCTTTCAAAGAGCTCATTTCTGTGTTCGCTCTAGCCAGAACTTGTACAATAATTTTTCGTGTTTAAATTATTACGTCTGAGTTCCGGAAGGCGGCAATTTCAAGGTTCAATCAAATCATTTTAATTTAGAAAAATATTTAATTAGCAGGATTGCATTTTCAAGGCAACAAAATGGGTAGATAAAACGTAAATCTAAATAATAAAATAAGAAATGTAATTTTAGGAACAGTCGAACGATGTTCATAATCTTTAAATGGTCATACACCGATAACTTCCGTGCGTGCACCAGAAAGTTTGTGCACCAGAAAGTTCGTGCACCAGAAAGTTCCGCGCGCCAGAAAATTCAGTGGACTGAAACGTCTGTGCCCCGGAACGTCCGTGTACAGAAACGCTCGTAACAAAACGTCCTCGGACCCCTAAACATGCTATGAAACAGTGCTTTTCGACGGCGGTGTATGATGATTATTCGCCTGTGCCACATTAAAAAGTGGTCAAATACAGGTACTTTTTTGAGGCCGGCACTGATTGTCTGCCCTAGAAGCACGCTTCTGGCTAGATGTAGCGGCCACCCCCTCAGCGGATCATGGTAATTAAGTTGAGTTTTCAGTAAAACAAGCTTGTAAACAAGAAAGAAAACAATATTCCCTTTCTTGTTGACAAGTGTTTTTTACCGATATAAATCCCACAAGCGTTGAAAATAGCATATCTTGTTTTGACGATATTAGACTTAGGTGGACGTCGGCTCATAGAAAAAATTAGCTTGTATTAATTACCTTTTATTCCACGCACCGTCGTATTCTCAAACTTTCGCGTTCTATCCCAACAGCTTCACATTTTCACCGAGTTCGAGCTTTCTGCAATGCATACGTAGTTTATTTATCTAAACCAAAAAACACGTTTCTCTTTCCTCGGGAACTCCCTGTACATCATTGAGTGTTTTGTGGGAGCAAATTACCCTCTAAGAAAAAAGGTTGCCGATGAAGGGAAAATTGTTCTGTATGCCAAGAAAGAACTGATTCTCACAAAAGATTGCTATCATTGCGTACCATCTCGCCAAAAATGTTGTCCCCAGAAAAAATAATGTTTTGTGGGCAAAGAAAGCTAAAACGTACAAGCCAGAACAAAGTAAAAACCTCACAAAAAATAATGTGCACGCGCGTTTCTTTTTTTTTTCTTTTTTTTTAGAGTTGCTAAGTGTGCGGTTTGGAGCACACAGTCGCGGGTTCGTGTTTCAAACTGAAATCAATTAACGTTTTGCCATTATTGAATATTGTGATATTTTCCCAGTGGTGCACCACTGCGGTGAGGGACTGTTTTTCTTTTCCCACTTTTTTATTGTTTGGCCTAAATCAAATGACAGAATATTATTAGTTTGCCCTTTATCAATATTTACGGTGAGGAAACACGCATCTGCGTAAATTGGGGGTTACAAAGGAAAAAAAAAGTTAAGTGTTTTTTTAGAGTGCATCTTTTGGGCAGAGTGTCGCAAACTGCCAGCGCGATCTCATAACACGCAAACATCTTTCTAGCGACGCCACGTGTTGGAAGGATGATCGCTTGTAATATAAATTCGATAAAACAGAATACGATAAAATGACTTTAACCGTGTATTCCGAAGGCCCGTTTACACACTTGCGTTTGCTTATGACCGAGTTCTTGTGATTTCTTCCGACGAGAGAATACACCGGCATTCTGGTGCTATTTACGAGGTGACTCTGGAACTGCATTTCATTAGACAGAAGGTTTTGCGATTATTGCGAGATCATAAGTATATATACTCCACGAGAAAAGGTCATTTATAAGATATAACATGACCAAAAGCTTTTCAAGCCAAGGAAGTAAGAATGATGCGCGACATAAATAGGAAATATACGGAAATGCCAGTGTTCCAAGGCTATATGGCACCAGTCACAAGTGTGCAACCCAGCCTTGACTCGAAGAGTTCTTTGTGTAAAAAAAAGCAAACGGTCTGATGCTTTTCTTTTTCTTTTTTTTTTAATTACGCTCAATTTTTGGTGTAACATGAATGCATGGATTGCGTGTCGGATGCGGTTCCGAATTTTGCGGATGCGGTTCGGATGCGTAAACAACAAAGTCTGCGGGTGTGGATCGGATGCTGGTGATCAAACAAACGCAAGGTTCTAACCATTTAGAAGCTTGGCAATCGAGACTACATTTCCTCCTCGCGAAGGACATCAAATGAATGTTAAGAAATAAAAAAATATATATATAGAGAGAGAGAGATGGTGTTTTTCTTCACAGCGTGCTGAACTTGTACCAAATCTGAAAACCTGTAATTTTTCATAGTTTTTTTTTTCTCAATATATAAATTATACTTCGCTTGGAAGACAATGACACGTGCTGTATATGGCATCAATTTGAAATTTGAATCCGATGTACTCCAAAAACTCTACTCGAGAGAAAAATAATGAAAGATTGGGGCTGCAAAGGCATGTTTGGGAATGTTTACAAAATTTTTGGCGATAAATACTAAACATTCTTTTATATTTTGGCTGGTTATGTTATACATAGATTACTCAAAAAAGTATCGACGACCTGTCGCTAAAGGTTCGAGGTTGATCGCGAATCGAACATGACCGTCGTCAAAACTCCGCCTTCCTTTCCATTTCCTCTGGGATTTATTTGCCTGACGGTCATTCGTGAGGGTTCTGTGTTTTCGGGTAAATCCGAAAAAAATCTAAGAACAATTGCCTTTTTTATTTTCCGCCGATGCAGATATCTCTAAAAAAACCACAAAATTTCAAAGCCATAAAAAAAAAAAAAAAAAAATGGTGTTTTACAAATAAACTTTATACAAGCACAGTGTCACTGGCCCTGAGGACATGCCGCTTCAATTTCCTTTGAAATGTATAAAACTACTCACAAAAGGGGTTTGCCCTTTGAGGTTCCTTCAAGACAAGTGGGTCACGGTATCCAAACTTCATTTTGTTTTTGAAGTTTTTTTTTTTTTATTATAACAACGCAGAAATATGAAATCCAAATTTAAAGATTGGGAATTTGACAAAAAATTACCTCTGATAAACCCGGAATTTTCAGCGAAAAACAAACTCCAAAACACACCCTCCGAATTCACGAGAAATAAACTCCGAAAACACGCGGAATCCTAGCCGCATTTGTGACAACATATAAGAAATTGAAAAGAAAATACGGATGCATCCCACTGCCTGCATTCAAATGATTTACTGATCAACCTTTGAGAAACTTAATTGTTCATGTGCCACATTTAGGGTGACCATATTCCTCAAGGTAGACAACGGGACATCCCAGCGGGGGGCGGGGGCCAAAGATTGAGATTGGGGGAAAATTTTAATGAAATAACTGCTCCGATTTCAAAATGTTACCATATTGCGCTAAGCCCTAAGGTCTAGGGAACAGTCACACTGCTTCGCGTCCTTCATTGGTGTGGGTGTATTTTGCCGACGACTGAAGTTTCCTAAGCAGGACTTTATCCTACAAGACTCGGTTGTAAAAGTCTGCACAGTTATATAGACAAAAAAAAAAAAAAAAGAAAAAAAGAATCATGTCTCGAAAACCGAACATGATTCTTTATTGGGACAAAAAGACGGGACGGCAGAAGCGGATCTCAAAAACGGGACAGCCCCGGCCAAAACGGGACGTCTGGTCACCCTAGCCACATTATCATTACAAATACTTCTGATCACATACACTCGTAATTGAAAAAAAAAAGTTTGTTATTATCCCCGGGCCATACATCGCTCCAAAATTGATTTTAATGGTTTGTTCAGTCGACTGTTTAAGATTCTTTCCCCCTCCTACTTCGTTTGTTAATTAGAGAAACGTATTACGATGGGTCGATTGTTTCTTCAAACATTTTCCAAATATATTTTCCGCTATCGGTTATTCTAAAAAAAAAAAAAAAAATCTTTATAGTGGTTTTTTTGATTTGTTTGTCTGTTTTTAAAGATTTTTAGCTATAATTATTTTGTTTAGTAATAAGACTTATTTATTTTTGTTACCCACGCTCTAAACAGCTGGTTCGCTTTTTCTGACAGTCACTTCTACCGCATTTCAGCTAGGGTACTGAATACGGACTTTTAAAAGTATTTTTTCGTTTCAAATTACTTAAAATCTTGTGTATCACGCCATGGTTCTCGTTGTCGCCATATGCGGCTGCAAATTGGGAAATAGTTAGATTTTTGGTCTGTGATTGCACTTGTAAATATATCAGCTTGAACTTTAGGAATAACTAGAACACAAAGACAGAAAGGACAGGATAAGACACACAGCTGACTACCAACAATGTTTTAGTGTAAACTTCTTCCTTGAACTTTTGCTTCTTCCATTTGAGTCTCACAAATCGTGTGAGCATCAAATAGGGCAAAGTTTTGAAAAACAGATGTGCCGCCTACGAGATTCGGGATATCCAACTAGTCTTATGGTGCCAGTCTGTGAGAACATCTGCAAAAAATTGAAGCATACAAGGCAGGAGAACGGAGACACAGACAAAACTCGAAGGAAGATCGTGGTGCTACCGTACATTCATGGAATTACCCACAAATTGAAAAAAAGATTGCAGCAAGAAATGACGTACAAGTAGTATGCTCCGCGCCCAACAAAGCATACTATATGTGCCGTGAAGTGAAACGAAAAAGAAAGAAAAAATCCTGCAACACGGCCCACAGAACGCAGTATCTCCCATGCACAACAGGAGTGGTGTACCACATTCCCCTGTCTTGCGGGAAATGCTACATCGGCCTGTTTGGCCGATGTATCAACGACAGAGCCCGTGAGCATGCAGCCTCTCTAAAGGGAACAGCGGCAGGACATCTGGGCCCGTTTGCTCGAAGCACTAACCACGGCTAAAGTTAGCCGCAGTACCTAGGAGAGGGATTTTGAAATCATGTGACTGGGGCTCGGTAGGGATGCGGGGAAACATGGCGGTGCCCCGGTGAGTACTGCCGCTCGCTTTGGAACTAATATGCCGCTGTAGCCAAGGCTGGATGTGGTTGAAGGGGCAGGCTGCACGATCGCTGGAGTCGTCGTTTTGAACTGGCTGGTGTCCTGGGTGGCATTTCCGATCAGGCTCCCACTGGTGCTGCTGGAGGCCGGTGCTCCGAGCCCCCCTCTCGCTGCAGGGCGTCAGACAGAAGAAACCAAGATTGAAGCACAAGGAAGGATGTATACGAACCTAGGATGGAAAGCTGGGAACCGACCGAGACGTACGGAAGAAAGCAGTTCTGATATGTTTGCTGGGAACCGACCGAGACGTACGGAAGAAAGCAGTTCTGAAATGTTTGCATCAACCCGGAACGATTTAGCTTTCGTGGTACATGCGACACATTCTTTGCACACATGACCCAAATAAAAGCGAAGACGTGCGTTCCTCACCAAGGCTGGACGTGGTTGAAGGGGCAGGCTGCCCGAACGCTGGAGTCGTCGTTTTGAAATGGCTCATGCCCTGGGAGGCATTTCCGGTCAGGCTCCCACTAGTGGTGCTGGACGCCGGTGCTCCGAGCCCCATACTCCCTGCAGGGCGTCAGACAGGAGAAACCAAGATTGAAGCACAAGGAAGGATGTATACGAACCTAGGATGGAAAGCTGGGAACCGACCGAGACGTAGGGAAGAAAGCAGTTCTGAAATGTTTGCATCAACCCGGAAAGATTTAGCTTTCGTGGTACATGCGACACATTCTTTGCACACATGAACCAAATAAAAGCGAAGCAGTGCGTTCCTCACCAAGGCTGGACGTGGTTGAAGGGGCAGGCTGCAGCCCGAACGCTGGAGTCGTCGTTTTGAACTGGCTCGTGCCCTGGGAGGCATTTCCGGTCAGGCTCCCACTAGTGGTGCTGGACGCCGGTGCTCCGAGCCCCATACTCCCTGCAGGGTGTCAGACAGGAGAAACCAAGATTGAAGCATAAGGAAGGATGTATACGAACCTAGGATGGAAAGCTGGGAACCGACCGAGACGTACGGAAGAAAGCAGTTCTGATATGTTTGCTGGGAACCGACCGAGACGTACGGAAGAAAGCAGTTCTGAAATGTTTGCATCAACCCGGAACGATTTAGCTTTCGTGGTACATGCGACACATTCTTTGCACACATGACCCAAATAAAAGCGAAGACGTGCGTTCCTCACCAAGGCTGGACGTGGTTGAAGGGGCAGGCTGCCCGAACGCTGGAGTTGTCGTTTTGAAATGGCTCGTGCCCTGGGAGGCATTTCCGGTCAGGCTCCCACTAGTGGTGCTGGACGCCGGTGCTCCGAGCCCCATACTCCCTGCAGGGCGTCAGACAGGAGAAACCAAGATTGAAGCACAAGGAAGGATGTATACGAACCTAGGATGGAAAGCTGGGAACCGACTGAGACGTAGGGAAGAAAGCAGTTCTGAAATGTTTGCATCAACCCGGAAAGATTTAGCTTTCGTGGTACATGCGACACATTCTTTGCACACATGAACCAAATAAAAGCGAAGCAGTGCGTTCCTCACCAAGGCTGGACGTGGTTGAAGGGGCAGGCTGCAGCCCGAACGCTGGAGTCGTCGTTTTGAACTGGCTCGTGCCCTGGGAGGCATTTCCGGTCAGGCTCCCACTAGTGGTGCTGGACGCCGGTGCTCCGAGCCCCATACTCCCTGCAGGGCGTCAGACAGGAGAAACCAAGATTGAAGCACAAGGAAGGATGTATACGAACCTAGGATGGAAAGCTGGGAACCGACTGAGACGTAGGGAAGAAAGCAGTTCTGAAATGTTTGCATCAACCCGGAAAGATTTAGCTTTCGTGGTACATGCGACACATTCTTTGCACACATGAACCAAATAAAAGCGAAGCAGTGCGTTCCTCACCAAGGCTGGACGTGGTTGAAGGGGCAGGCTGCAGCCCGAACGCTGGAGTCGTCGTTTTGAACTGGCTCGTGCCCTGGGAGGCATTTCCGGTCAGGCTCCCACTAGTGGTGCTGGACGCCGGTGCTCCGAGCCCAATACTCCCTGCAGGGCGTCAGACAGGAGAAACCAAGATTGAAGCACAAGGAAGGATGTATACGAACCTAGGATGGAAAGCTGGGAACCGACCGAGACGTAGGGAAGAAAGCAGTTCTGAAATGTTTGCATCAACCCGGAAAGATTTAGCTTTCGTGGTACATGCGACACATTCTTTGCACACATGAACCAAATAAAAGCGAAGCAGTGCGTTCCTCACCAAGGCTGGACGTGGTTGAAGGGGCAGGCTGCAGCCCGAACGCTGGAGTCGTCGTTTTGAACTGGCTCGTGCCCTGGGAGGCATTTCCGGTCAGGCTCCCACTAGTGGTGCTGGACGCCGGTGCTCCGAGCCCCATACTCCCTGCAGGGCGTCAGACAGGAGAAACCAAGATTGAAGCACAAGGAAGGATGTATACGAACCTAGGATGGAAAGCTGGGAACCGACCGAGACGTAGGGAAGAAAGCAGTTCTGAAATGTTTGCATCAACCCGGAAAGATTTAGCTTTCGTGGTACATGCGACACATTCTTTGCACACATGAACCAAATAAAAGCGAAGCAGTGCGTTCCTCACCAAGGCTGGACGTGGTTGAAGGGGCAGGCTGCAGCCCGAACGCTGGAGTCATCGTTTTGAACTGGCTGGTGTCCTGGGTGGCATTTCCGATCAGGCTCCCACTGGTGGTGCCGGAGACCGATGCTCCGAGTCCCCCGCTCGCTGCAGGGCGTCAGACAGAAGAAACCAAGATTGAAGCACAAGGAAGGATGTATACGAACCTAGGATGGAAAGCTGGGAACCGACCAAGACATACAGTACAGAATAGCGAGCAGAACAAACATACCTGCAAAGGAATCGCACAACAAACGGATCCCGCAATGCATTTCGTCTGCTACGTGCGAAAAAAACACAAACAAACACACAGTTGGGTGTAGCCATGTGACTTCCGCCACTCACTCTCCCCTCTCCGCTTGTCCGTGCGGTGTAGGAGTTTTGGTTTCGGTTTTGAGCAGTTGCAATTTTTGGCTTTTAAAAAAATATGTGACACTATAGGAAAATATTAATTGAGTAGTATTCCGACACCATAATAAATCGCCAAACAAAAAAGGAAAAAAAAAAATTCTGGGGGGTGTCAGTGTCCGTTTAAGGGTGGAGCCACGGGTGCGCACTGTGTGGTCTGGGAGATTATTCCATTTCGCTAAGGTAAGGGGTAACAGTGGGACCAGGACTGCAACGTATACTGGGGCAGTTAAATTGTTGTCGGGAATAACCATGGGCGATCTAATGGCAAAGATCAACCCAGCTGACAATGGCGACAAAGAACTCTCATGGAAGAGACAAATGGATGGTTCTCTACTGTGAGTACCGAGAATACTTGCTGATCTTCTGTCGTGCAAAAACTTACCGCACAGGCTAAAGTTAGTACTAGAGATAAGAGATGCTGCTTTACCACTCGGAAGGTATGCTCCTTGAAACCCACAATGCCGAAGGTTTTGAGGAGGAATGGCATAAGGTGCTGTGGAGCCGCCCAATCGATACCTTTATATCCTTGCATGCCATGATTTGTTATCCACAGAATCTGTACAGGACTAGTGTTTCAAACCCCCCCCCCCCCCTTTCCTCAAGAAATAAAAATAAAAAAGATTGCTGCGATAGAATTGCAAGAAGAGCATTTCATAGTTTGATTGCATGCATGGTGGCATTTTTCCCATAGAAAACCAAGCAATGGCCCTAAAGAAGAAGCACATGGACAAGGAAGAAGTGACGCCCTTTATGCAAAAATAAGGGGCATTGTGCAGGCTAGCTGGTGAACATTCATACTTAAAAACCCCGAGACAGAGGAAAGGAACGAGCAAACACAATGAAGGCTCAAAATGCAGCTGCTAAATTTATTCACAGGAACAGCCTCTGGCAAAAAGGGAACTCTTCCCCACCTTGAAAGCAACTCATCACCCTTTTGGGCTGATGGGTCGGTCCCACTTTCCTTGTTTGTGGGGTTAACGAGGGTCGTTTTCAAGGCGAGGATGAGCGCCGTCTCCAAAGAGGCTGTTCCTACGAATCCATTTTGCAGCTGCGTTTTGAGACTTCGTTGTGTTTGTCCCTTCCTTTTCCCTCGTCTTGGGGATTTTGAAGTATGAACCCTTTATGCGTTCTCATTGCTTCACGGAGCGTCAGACTGCATGTTGTTCAGACAGCAAGTGGCGCATGTGAAGAAAACCCCGTCAAGCACCGTCGCAACTTCACCATGTTTGATGCAACGCATAAGTCAAGCATTTTCTTTTTTTTTCTCTGTACTCCCGACACGTTACAACGGCATCAAAGTAATTTCAAACAAATTGAGCCTTACCAGTGACGGCGACACCCTTAACGCAACGTCGCATCGCCCTTGCGAAGCGACGACGACCTGCGTAGCTCACCCAAGGGTCAAGCAACGCTGAAGTCGTTGTTTCGAACGGGTTCGTGTCCTGGGCAGCATTTCCAAACAGGCTTCCACTGATGCTGGGAGCCTCGGAGGCCAACGCTCCGAACCCGCCGCTCACTGCAGGGCGTCAAACGGAAGAAACCGAAATTAAAGCGCAATAATGTACAGTATAGACCACTTACAACGTAACCGCTTATAGTGCAGGACCGGGTATAATGCGGCTTTTTTAAACCACCGGTTCGCCTCCCGTAGAACTCCATGTAATTACATACCGCTTAAAATGCAGGCGCGCGAAGGGAAATACCGGTTATAGTGCGGTATCTGGAGCAGCGCTCCGACCGCGCCGACCGACCAGCGCAGCGGGCACGCTTCCCTGTACGACACCAGATAACGGCGCTAGCCGCAAGCGGCAATCGCGGGGGCAAGGATGGCAAGGAGGTTGCTCGAAGAAGCGGGCAGAAGCAAAGAGAGAGGCTTCAGTTGCCATAGCGACGGAGGGACGCACAGACGTGTCGTTCACGGCGCAAAGCGCAAGGCGTTGGAGAGCCCAACCAGCCGTTCGCGCGCTTTGCATGCCGGTCCCGGGCCGGCTTCTTCTATCCGCAAACATGGCGTCGGTTTGTGATCGTCGACGTAGACGGCGTGGTGGAAGCTCATTGTTCCGCATAAAAGCGCTATCCTTGACTATGAATTTTCGTTGTCTGTCGCTATGATTACCCAGCACGTACTAGAAGGGAAGATCCACCTACTCGTGCGGCGATATCGTGGCGGCACTCTCAGGACGGCAGAAACGCCCGTGTCGTCGTGTTTGTTTACTTCGACTACAGTGGTGCTAAGCATTTGTGTTTTCGAACATCCCCGGATTTCTTATTTGGAGCATTTCATGCCTGTGCTCAAGTTGAAGGTATTAATGGCTCGTACCGTATAACGGATGCAAATTTTCACGCGTCTTTATCACCGGAGAAAAGTGATTAGGGTTAGCAATCCTGAACGCTTGCAACGTCTGTCCGCAACCCGCGACGCCGTTAAAAGGCTAGCTGCGCTAGGCAAAAGCCGCTCATTTCTTTCAAAATGTGTGACACATTTGAGAGAGAAGTGTACTAGTCTGGTGAAATAAAGACTTTCCTCAAACTAAGCTTTATTTTTCATCTAACATAAAATAAATTGTTTTACAAAGGTAAGTTGTCTCATGGCATGTATTTTGGCCTAAAAAATTGAAGTTTTGGTTATAGCACGGTACCGCTTATAGTGCGGATTTTCACAACTCCCGCGACATACGTTATATGCGGTCTACACTGTATACGGATCTAGGATAGAAAGCTGGGAACCGACCGAGAATCATGAAAGAAAGCGTTTTGAAATTTTGGCCTCAACCCAGAATGATTTAGCTTTCGAGCTGCAAGCGACACATTCTTTGCACAAATCAACCAAACGAAGGCAAGGACGTGCATTTCTCACCAAAGCTGGACATGGTCGAAGGAGAAGGCTGCCCAAACGCTTGAGTCGTCTTTGTGTCCTGGGCAGCATTTCCGATCAGGCACCCACTGGTGGTGCTGGGAGGAGCAGCTTCGGAGGCCGATGCTCCGAGCCTTCCGCTAGCTGCAGGGCGTCAGACGGAAGAAACCAAAATTAAAGCGCAGGAATGTATACGGATCTAGGATAGAAAGCTAGGAACCAACCGAGAATCGTGAAAGAAAGCGTTCTGAAATTTTGGCCTCAACCCAGAATGATTTAGCTTTCGTGCTGCAAGCGACACATTCTTTGCACAAATCAACCAAACGAAGGCAAGGACGTGCATTTCTCACCAAAGCTGGACATGGTCGAAGGAGAAGGCTGCCCAAACGCTTGAGTCGTCTTTGTGTCCTGGGCAGCATTTCCGATCAGGCACCCACTGGTGGTGCTGGGAGGAGCAGCTTCGGAGGCCGATGCTCCGAGCCTTCCGCTAGCTGCAGGGCGTCAGACGGAAGAAACCAAAATTAAAGCACAGGAATGTATACGGATCTAGGATAGAAAGCTAGGAACCAACCGAGAATCGTGAAAGAAAGCGTTCTGAAATTTTGGCCTCAACCCAGAATGATTTAGCTTTCGAGCTGCAAGCGACACATTCTTTGCACAAATCAACCAAACGAAGGCAAGGACGTGCATTTCTCACCAAAGCTGGACATGGTCGAAGGAGAAGGCTGCCCAAACGCTTGAGTCGTCTTTGTGTCCTGGGCAGCATTTCCGATCAGGCACCCACTGGTGGTGCTGGGAGGAGCAGCTTCGGAGGCCGATGCTCCGAGCCACCCGCTAGCTGCAGGGCGTCAGACGGAAGAAACCAAAATTAAAGCGCAGGAATGTATACACGAACTCATCTCTGTGACGTCACGGCGCGGTGGTGGCGCGTCGGTCGCACTTCCGGTCTGGGGCTGTGGGCAGAAGTCCCCATGCCAGACGTGTATTCCTGCGTTTTTTTGAAAGGAACGAGACAAAAACCTGCCTTCTCGTCAAAACGCCGCGACTGGGGCCGTACCAAAAGTGTCGTGAAAGGTTTGAAGGTCAGTTTCCACGTGCTTGGTTCGTCCGAGAATCTGGATATGTGCCGTGAAAAGGGAAAAGCAGACGCCGTCGGACAACGATTGCTTGGGCGGGAAGCACTTTGGGTTGAATTCACGGATACTTGCGGTCATCAGATTTATTTGTTTTGTTCCAACATGAACGCCAGAAAACTGTCAAGTTGTGCGGTTCACCTGTGGACTACGTTCAGTGCGTCTTCAAGTTCAAACGGCCGCCTGATTGTTCGAATTGTCGTCTGCTCTTCCAAACGTTTCTGCTTGTCGTCTGCTCTCTTAGACGACGCCGGTCCGTAGACCAAATGTTGGCCCGGCACTTGCGATAAGAAGTGAGTGCAGGCCTCAAAAGACTTAAATTTGAAGGTTGGTAGGCAGGCTCGATGTAAACAGTAGATACAAGGAGATGTTGGTCATTGTTACAAGTGACCAACACCGACTTGGTATGCCTAATTCTGTTCGTCCGATTCTGCTAGTGATTTTCAGTATCGTCGTCTACCATCTCAGCTACGGTTTACGCTTTTGCAACCCGAGCGGCGTCGCGACTGAAAATTCCGAGCGAAATCTCATCATGCGAATCAGGCTTTAGCGTACAATCTGCGGCTTCCACGCGGAATGAATCGCCACATGTCACATTATTCACGCGAAGTTTTGCGGTGTAACGAGCCTCGGTAATTTCGCTGACGCAGCTCAAGATAGTCAGACATCGCGAGGAAGACGTAGAACCAACAATTCGAACGCGAAAAAGGGCAGGGGGACTCACACCGACGCCGACAACATCGCATTTCAATGGTTTGTTTATGGGCGACGGCGAGCTTTTTGCCCACACCCCCATCGCGCATGCGCGGCGCCGGTGGCGTCCGCTAGGGGCGCTCCGGGCGCTCCGGTTTGTTTGTAAACATGAGTTGGTGTATACGGATCTAGGATAGAAAGCTAGGAACCAACCGAGAATCGTGAAAGAAAGCGTTCTGAAATTTTGGCCTCAACCCAGAATGATTTAGCTTTCGTGCTGCAAGCGACACAATCTTTGCACAAATCAACCAAACGAAGGCAAGGACGTGCATTTCTCACCAAAGCTGGACATGGTCGAAGGAGAAGGCTGCCCAAACGCTTGAGTCGTCTTTGTGTCCTGGGCAGCATTTCCGATCAGGCACCCACTGGTGGTGCTGGGAGGAGCAGCTTCGGAGGCCGATGCTCCGAGCCTTCCGCTAGCTGCAGGGCGTCAGACGGAAGAAACCAAAATTAAAGCACAGGAATGTATACGGATCTAGGATAGAAAGCTAGGAACCAACCGAGAATCGTGAAAGAAAGCGTTCTGAAATTTTGGCCTCAACCCAGAATGATTTAGCTTTCGTGCTGCAAGCGACACATTCTTTGCACAAATCAACCAAACGAAGGCAAGGACGTGCATTTCTCACCAAAGCTGGACATGGTCGAAGGAGAAGGCTGCCCAAACGCTTGAGTCGTCTTTGTGTCCTGGGCAGCATTTCCGATCAGGCACCCACTGGTGGTGCTGGGAGGAGCAGCTTCGGAGGCCGATGCTCCGAGCCACCCGCTAGCTGCAGGGCGTCAGACGGAAGAAACCAAAATTAAAGCGCAGGAATGTATACGGATCTAGGATAGAAAGCTAGGAACCAACCGAGAATCGTGAAAGAAAGCGTTCTGAAATTTTGGCCTCAACCCAGAATGATTTAGCTTTCGTGCTGCAAGCGACACAATCTTTGCACAAATCAACCAAACGAAGGCAAGGACGTGCATTTCTCACCAAAGCTGGACATGGTCGAAGGAGAAGGCTGCCCAAACGCTTGAGTCGTCTTTGTGTCCTGGGCAGCATTTCCGATCAGGCACCCACTGGTGGTGCTGGGAGGAGCAGCTTCGGAGGCCGATGCTCCGAGCCTTCCGCTAGCTGCAGGGCGTCAGACGGAAGAAACCAAAATTAAAGCACAGGAATGTATACGGATCTAGGATAGAAAGCTAGGAACCAACCGAGAATCGTGAAAGAAAGCGTTCTGAAATTTTGGCCTCAACCCAGAATGATTTAGCTTTCGAGCTGCAAGCGACACATTCTTTGCACAAATCAACCAAACGAAGGCAAGGACGTGCATTTCTCACCAAAGCTGGACATGGTCGAAGGAGAAGGCTGCCCAAACGCTTGAGTCGTCTTTGTGTCCTGGGCAGCATTTCCGATCAGGCACCCACTGGTGGTGCTGGGAGGAGCAGCTTCGGAGGCCGATGCTCCGAGCCACCCGCTAGCTGCAGGGCGTCAGACGGAAGAAACCAAAATTAAAGCGCAGGAATGTATACGGATCTAGGATAGAAAGCTAGGAACCAACCGAGAATCGTGAAAGAAAGCGTTCTGAAATTTTGGCCTCAACCCAGAATGATTTAGCTTTCGTGCTGCAAGCGACACATTCTTTGCACAAATCAACCAAACGAAGGCAAGGACGTGCATTTCTCACCAAAGCTGGACATGGTCGAAGGAGAAGGCTGCCCAAACGCTTGAGTCGTCTTTGTGTCCTGGGCAGCATTTCCGATCAGGCACCCACTGGTGGTGCTGGGAGGAGCAGCTTCGGAGGCCGATGCTCCGAGCCTTCCGCTAGCTGCAGGGCGTCAGACGGAAGAAACCAAAATTAAAGCGCAGGAATGTATACGGATCTAGGATAGAAAGCTAGGAACCAACCGAGAATCGTGAAAGAAAGCGTTCTGAAATTTTGGCCTCAACCCAGAATGATTTAGCTTTCGTGCTGCAAGCGACACATTCTTTGCACAAATCAACCAAACGAAGGCAAGGACGTGCATTTCTCACCAAAGCTGGACATGGTCGAAGGAGAAGGCTGCCCAAACGCTTGAGTCGTCTTTGTGTCCTGGGCAGCATTTCCGATCAGGCACCCACTGGTGGTGCTGGGAGGAGCAGCTTCGGAGGCCGATGCTCCGAGCCACCCGCTAGCTGCAGGGCGTCAGACGGAAGAAACCAAAATTAAAGCACAGGAATGTATACGGATCTAGGATAGAAAGCTAGGAACCAACCGAGAATCGTGAAAGAAAGCGTTCTGAAATTTTGGCCTCAACCCAGAATGATTTAGCTTTCGTGCTGAAAGCGACACATTCTTTGCACAAATCAACCAAACGAAGGCAAGGACGTGCATTTCTCACCAAAGCTGGACATGGTCGAAGGAGAAGGCTGCCCAAACGCTTGAGTCGTCTTTGTGTCCTGGGCAGCATTTCCGATCAGGCACCCACTGGTGGTGCTGGGAGGAGCGGCTTCGGAGGCCGATGCTCGGAGCCACCCGCTAGCTGCAGGGCGTCAGACGGAAGAAACCAAAATTAAAGCGCAGGAATGCATACGGATCTAGGATAGAAAGCTAGGAACCAACCGAGAATCGTGAAAGAAAGCGTTCTGAAATTTTGGCCTCAACCCAGAATGATTTAGCTTTCGTGCTGCAAGCGACACATTCTTTGCACAAATCAACCAAACGAAGGCAAGGACGTGCATTTCTCACCAAAGCTGGACATGGTCGAAGGAGAAGGCTGCCCAAACGCTTGAGTCGTCTTTGTGTCCTGGGCAGCATTTCCGATCAGGCACCCACTGGTGGTGCTGGGAGGAGCAGCTTCGGAGGCCGATGCTCCGAGCCACCCGCTAGCTGCAGGGCGTCAGACGGAAGAAACCAAAATTAAAGCACAGGAATGTATACGGATCTAGGATAGAAAGCTAGGAACCAACCGAGAATCGTGAAAGAAAGCGTTCTGAAATTTTGGCCTCAACCCAGAATGATTTAGCTTTCGTGCTGAAAGCGACACATTCTTTGCACAAATCAACCAAACGAAGGCAAGGACGTGCATTTCTCACCAAAGCTGGACATGGTCGAAGGAGAAGGCTGCCCAAACGCTTGAGTCGTCTTTGTGTCCTGGGCAGCATTTCCGATCAGGCACCCACTGGTGGTGCTGGGAGGAGCGGCTTCGGAGGCCGATGCTCGGAGCCACCCGCTAGCTGCAGGGCGTCAGACGGAAGAAACCAAAATTAAAGCGCAGGAATGCATACGGATCTAGGATAGAAAGCTAGGAACCAACCGAGAATCGTGAAAGAAAGCGTTCTGAAATTTTGGCCTCAACCCAGAATGATTTAGCTTTCGTGCTGCAAGCGACACATTCTTTGCACAAATCAACCAAACGAAGGCAAGGACGTGCATTTCTCACCAAAGCTGGACATGGTCGAAGGAGAAGGCTGCCCAAACGCTTGAGTCGTCTTTGTGTCCTGGGCAGCATTTCCGATCAGGCACCCACTGGTGGTGCTGGGAGGAGCAGCTTCGGAGGCCGATGCTCCGAGCCACCCGCTAGCTGCAGGGCGTCAGACGGAAGAAACCAAAATTAAAGCGCAGGAATGTATACGGATCTAGGATAGAAAGCTAGGAACCAACCGAGAATCGTGAAAGAAAGCGTTCTGAAATTTTGGCCTCAACCCAGAATGATTTAGCTTTCGTGCTGAAAGCGACACATTCTTTGCACAAATCAACCAAACGAAGGCAAGGACGTGCATTTCTCACCAAAGCTGGACATGGCCGAAGGGAAAGGCTGCCCGAACGCTTGAGTCGTCGTTGCGTCCTGGGCAGCATTCCCGATCAGGCTCCCACTGGTGGTGCTGGGAGGAGCGGCTTCGGATGCCGATGCCCGGAGCCCCCCGCTCGCTGCAGGGCGTCAGACGGAAGAAACCGAAATTAAAGTGTGAGAATGTGTACGAATCTAGGCTAGAAAGCTGGGAACCGACCGAGAATTATGATCGAAAGAAAGCGTTCTGAAGTTTTGGCCTCAAGCCGGAACGATTTAACTTTCGTGGTGCATGCGACACATGTGCGTCCCTCAACTTTCAAGGGGCCGTGCAACGATATGGGGTTAGAATGTTTGTCACTTTGCACAAGCTGCTGGCACTAGTGTGACTAGGTATATTCATACTCGCATGCAATGCCACTGACCAAGAGGCCCCAAGTAAAAATCAGTCCACCTCCAGCTGGATTATGGAACTCATCCCAGCTGAAAATGAGGCAGTCCAGCTGGATTCCAGCAGCTCCCAACTGGAATCCAGCGCAACAAAGGATCCTTTGTTGCGCTGGAATTTCGAGAATACAGGCAGACTTTCAGTCTGTCCTTTGCAATTCCTGATGGGACTGCAGTATTGTTGCCACGGGAATTATCCGCTAAAGATGATAGGCAAATGCCCCATGAAAGCACTAACCTTGTGCTTGCGACAATCAATGCCTAGACGAGCGATTCGGATAGTGCCTCAGTTTCAATCACTGCTATGAATGAAATAGCCAAACTCTAACAGTGTATGGAACTCGGCGTGTTGTGTTTTAGCAACCCCCAGCTCGTGGCTATGACAAATATTGGCGGCACGTAGCCGGCCCCAGATCAAGCAGTTGCTTGTTTTGGCTGAGTTTAGGGGTTGAACACTGCCCATTTTTTGCTATGTATTCTTCCAAACTGCGAAGAGTGGAGAGATATGTGTGTGATAGGTTAGGAGCGTCAATGATCATTTATAAGCGGTATTTACTGAAAATATAAAAATTTTTGCACAGCCTCTTTAATTAAAGCAACCACATGGTTTCAGAGTGTTTCGTAGCCACACTTCGTGGTTACAATTGATGAGTGCGACCACATCCTTATACCAATAAATTTTAAAAATTGGGGATTTAAAAAGAATTGAAACCAATGAGTCACTTAGCTGCTTCCATGTGAGTGGCTAGTAAGTACAAAATGTCTTATTCTTTAAAAATACAAAATGACTCATCATTGTAAACTGGCAACAACAGCTGAACAGACTGCTGGGTGCGACCTGACGGCAACCTTGCGAGGGTCTCTTGTGACAGGCATTCCACACTATCAAAATCGCCGCCTTTGGCAGCCCATAAGTGTGAGCTCGTTCTGATGAACATGCACCCTACACATAGCTTGCATGTACGACATCATTCGCCGCCATGCCAGAATTTTATGCGCTGCAAGATTTCAGTTCACCGTGTTAGCTTCGCACCGCAGAAGTTGTAGTTTGAAGAGATCAGCGAATAGAAATAACCGTCAGTGCCTGCAGAATTGGCGACACTTACAAGCTATATATAAAACACACTAAAAAATGGCGTCCAGTGATTTCCCCCACTGATTTCTATAACAATTTTCTGGATCGCGCATCCCCGTTTGGTTGCTGCAGCGCAAGTGCGGCCACCGGATGGCCATTTTGCATGTCACAAAATCTACTTTTTGGAGCGTTGCAGAGGATGGGCAGCAGTGTCCTGAAGACACGTTTTCCATTCTTTTGTCGTCATTCGCCAAAGAAGTTTCTTAAAACCTTGTGTAAACAATGAAAATTGCCTTTCAGAACACATGAAAATTTTTATGAAAGCACAGCGTGGCATGAAAAGGGCACAACTTGTCGAAAGAAAGTTTCGCCGGTCTTGCAGCATGATCAAAGTTTCCTTGTTACGCCGAAGTGCTGGGTCTCTGTGTCTTCGCACGCATGGATACCGATCAAGAATCAATACCATGTGGATACGTTCTGCAAGTGCAATGTGTGTGAAGAAATATATGCCTCTGGAGCAGCAATTTACTTTAGTCCGACGATTGTATTTGCAACCTGCAACACTCGTAATCCAGGAGTGAGCTTGATCCAGTGTCTAGTGGAAACGGAAGAGGAGGGGAGCGATGGAAGAGGGAAACAACAATGGCGACGGCACATTTGTTTTGTTTACTAGATGCTTATGGCAATCAATTTAGTAGAACAAAAATCTTTATTTCTGTGCTCCTCCTCCCACCACACTTCCGACGCCCCTGGCTCCATTGTTCAAAAGTGGCAATGTGATTTGAACCCTTTAAAGGGGTACGGAAACAAAATTCCAGAGCTCAGTTTCTAGCTTAAATGTGTTTCATGTTGCAGCATAACCTCACAAACACCAATCTTTCATTAAAAGGCACAAGAAAACTAAATTTAAAGCTAATTAAACGATCTTTCAATGTGCACCTGGTGGACACCTGTGCAGATTAGCTGGTAGATAATCTAGCAACGATGGGAATCTTGCTATGTAGTCACGGCGTAGCAGGAACCGTTATGTATAGCCGCACTAAACATCAGAGTAGCGCCGCTCCTTGAAAGTAAGCTCAACTGTTTAAGTTACCTCGACCTGAATGCGATTGCGAAGCCTTTGCCCCTTTGCGAAGGAAGCCGCCAAGATGCCACAATGGGCTCGTTGAGGAATGTCACCGAGTTGTCCCTGTGGGCCTGCTGTATGGCTCGAAGCCGTTCTGCACTTTTTAACTACGAGATGTCGCCACGCTTCTGCATGGCCAAGAACCGTGCTTTGGTCAACAGCGATATGCCGACCCACAAGTTTCTGGACGATGAGAAACTTCGTGCCCTGTTGATCCGGCTCGCACGTCCGTCGTTTCCGACATGGGGTGTGGAGCGTCTCACACGTGATACACTCGTCACCCTATGGGTACAAAAACGGTTCAGTTGTAGCTAGGGATGCCGCGAACCACCCTAGGTTCGATTTCAAACCGAACTGAAGTTCGAATTCGAAAGGTTTCGATATTTTCGACCGTACGGAGATTCGAATTAGAAAAATTGTCAACTTTCAAAAATCGTGAAGTTTCGAATTCGAAAAGTTCGAAGCTTTTACGGTTTCTAAAAGTTTGGGTCCGATTATTTCGAATATTTTTTTACTTGAGGTTCGAGGAATTCGAAGATTTCGAACTTTCCTAACTTGAAATTTGAGAGATTCGAATGTTTCAAATTTCTTTGGATTATAAATTCGAAAAATTTGAACGTTTCAAATTCTTATAGATATGAAGTTCAATAAATTCGAAGATTTCGACTTTCTTTCTACTTAAAGTTCGAAGGTTTCGATTCTCTTTTAGCGCTAAATTCGAAAAAGAAACTTAGGTTTTGAATTTCTTTTAAGTCCAAGTGCGCTATGTTCGAAGTTCGGTTTTCATGTTCTGCCACCCTCCCCAGTTTCAGTTTCAAATAACGTTTTCACGTCTCACTAGTTTTCCCGAAATCAGGTTTAGAAATGTTCGGGTGTGATATTCAGATTGCACGAAGTGGGTCAGGCAATTAAATGAGACGACGAGTGTCCCGGATGTGCTGGATTATTTGCCAGTGCAGAGTGACGTGTGCAGATCAGTCATTGTGGCCGCCAGCCTGGGGGGGGGGGGGGGGGGGGGGGGGGTCTTTAACATGCATCACGCAGTAGTGATCACACAAACGCACTGTTTAACGATTCTCCTCCAGTTCGAAAAGGCCAGGGGCAGGCAGGTGGTTGAGGGTCACTTGAGGCTCAGAAAAACATTGAAACGATCTGGCAAACTGCCTCCCCACCCCCTTGCACGCTGGTAGTAATCTGCTCGGACGCCGCCCGAGTGACGCTGGCATATAGTAAGTTTAGTTTGTACACGATGCAAAATTCTGTGACTGGGAATGAAATTTTAAAGAAAAAGTGTAAGAAGACAGAAAAAAGGGGACAGGACAACGTCTCAAACTCAGCTCAGGACAACGTCTCAAACTCAACTCAGCTGAAAACTCAGCTCAGGAATAACGTCTCAAACTCAACTCAACTGAGTTTGAGATATGTCCTGTCCCCTTTTTTCTTTCTTCTTACACTATTTCTTTCGAATTTCATTCCCAGTTTTGGGATTTTGCATCATGATCAACATACGCCAGCTTGCCTGCAGCTTGACAATTTTTTAGTTTGTAATTGTTTTGGAGGTTTATTTTCGAAGACGGAAGAAACGCTGAGCAAAAAGCACAGAAGCCGACACAACTTGAGGTCGAGGAGCGTTTTACCATACCAGCAGCGTCGGTAGAGGAAAAATGGGGGGGGGGGGGGGAGGAATTGGACTACAAAAAAAAAGTAAGTAGCTTTTAAGACAAGGTCAAATAAGGTGAAAGAAGCAGAAAAAAAATACATCCTGCTTTCTAACAGACAATGATAAAAGTGCATTGGCGAACGAGGATGCTTGTGGCAATAACACCTTCACATATTATCACATCTCTTTTAGTGAATTTAAGCGTAGGCAGAGCGTTGTCTCGTGTTGCGACATTAGGAAAATGGTCCCAGTCACTATAACCGAGAAGGACATTACTAATTCTTGTCTGTGCACTTACCTCCTCGAGCTTCTCGAAGAGGCACACAATCACTTGGTGTCTTCTTCTCCCCGCCTTCGATCGCAAAGAAAAACAAAGGCACTAAAAAAAGCGGATATAACTTGCCCCCTCCGCCCCCCTCCCCTTTTTTTTTTTGTAGAAATGTTTATTTGGACCTTTTAACATTGTTGTTAGGGTCTAAAAAAAAACAGATTCTGGGGGTTGGTGCTGCAAACAATGGCTTTGCGGAACTGAAGAGTGCCAAGCATCACTTTGCGCTGGTCAATTCGCGTGACAGTGTCACTGCGCCCAACTTATCCAAAATAAAAACAACCTTTTCTTTAGAAGGGGGGGGGGGGGGCTGGTCCTGAAAAAAATGTAACGGATTACAAGGAATCCATTACGTAAAAACTGTAAGGGAATTACTTTAAAATTACTCTAGAAAATATGTCATTATTCCGTTACTAAATTACCGATAAATGTAAGGGATTACAAGTAATTTCGTTACTTGTAAAGGATTACGTACAAGTCTGCATTTGTGGTTATTATCCGTCC